AGAGAGAGCTGACAGTAGTAGAACTAAACCACCTTACATCCTGTAAATTTTAGAATACAAGAACTGAATACTCTTCTTATCCTTGGTTACTGCCAGTTTATTAATGCAAGCTCTGTGTGTCTCAGATAAACAACTTATTGTTTGGAAACTCAAACGTGAAGAAACAAACTATGGAGAACCCGAGAGATCTCTCACTGGTCACAATCACTTTGTGTCTGATGTGGTCATGTCCTCTGATGGCCAGTTTGCACTTTCTGGCTCTTGGGATAAAAGCATGAGACTGTGGGATCTTAACACGTGAGTTGTCTCTTTTAAAATTGAACTTCATATTAAAGAAGATGTCTGCTTCAGATAACTCCTCCTCTACACTTAGATATACAGATTTATTTCTTAGGATGTTTTGAAATTCCACAGAGCAACTTAACCATTTTAAAATTGTCTTCAAATATTCCTAAAATTCAGCTATAGCAGCCATCCCTTTGGGGAAAAACCCCTTTTACCTAACAGCACACCTATCAAATGGCACAAACCACAACTTAACTTTCCAAAAATATTTACTGTGGTGGTTTCCCCAAAAAAAAACAAAAAAATTAATATTTCAGTCAGGAATGCATTTTTTTTTTTAAATGTTTATGGATCCGTCAGATGGGAGAGTGATGGAAACAGGGGGTTGAGAGTTGCTAAGCAACATTCCTAATGGTGTTATCCATACACAAATTTTGGCCATTTTGAAGACATGTTTTGAAACATTTGGTCACGCATTGTAATCTCAAAGTGCACTCAGTGGCATAATTTCATGTGAACTTTTCAGTGGTTTCTGGTTGTTTTTTCTTTTTTGACATTTGTGTGCAAATTTAATAATTTTTTGTCAATTTTATAATTTTTTTCAGGGGCGCCAGCACTCGCCAGTTTGTCGGCCACACCAAAGACATTTTGAGTGTTGCATTTTCTGCTGACAATCGTCAGATTGTGTCAGGATCCCGTGATTGCAGTATTAAGTTGTGGAATACACTGGGTCAATGCAAGTATACCATTCAGGTGTGTGGATGTTATCGTAACTTGGTTCAATTCTATCATTTGTCCTAATTATGGTTTCCTCTTTTGTTAGGCTATGTACTGTAAGTGTGCATTGATGAATTTGAAAGACCCAAATATCAACCAACTTTAAACAAAGAGTTAAAATTAAGCGACAAAAGACACTGACTCTTAGTGTAAAAGCCGTCGGATAAGCCGCACTTTTTTTCCAAAAATCATCGCTAGAAATTGGGGGTGCAGCTTATCTGTGTGAACATTTGAAAAAGGTGTTTTGAATGTCCATTTTTGCATATGATCTAATGCCTGGTTACTAAGCTTTGAATGTTCTGCTCACATTTTTGTTCTAATGCAAAAGTCTATGGAAAAACTGTTGAATGAAGAAATTCCTGTCAACAAATACCAGAAATTGACCAGTCATATGTCAAAGTTGGCCAAAACAATGTTCATTATATTAAAGTGCTAAAATTGTGGGTAACACCGAAGTATTTTCTTTTGCAATGTTAATGACGAGTTTACGTTCGATGAACAGTGGATGAAGAACACTTCTCAAGACTCGACTTTGATTTCTTTGATTTCTATAAAAAAAACTCTTTTTTCCAACATTTGAGCTGCTAAATTCGGGTTGTGGCTTATCTGTAGGTGCAGGTTATCCGCAGGCTTTACGGTAGTTCATTATTTCTTTGCAATTAAACCTGTGCATTCCCCAGGCTATTTACAATTATTTGGTTTTTTTTATAATAGGATGAAGGACACTCTGAATGGGTGTCTTGTGTAAGGTTCTCACCAAACTCGACAAACCCCATCATTGTTTCTGCTGGCTGGGACAAAGTTGTGAAGGTAATTGTTAAATTTGCTTATTTCCAGACCCAGATACTTTGCTTAGAGTTATGTTATCCCTTTCAATCCCAAGTCAAAGTATCACTTCTCTTCACTTTCTATCTTTCATTTCTTATAATTTTAGCTCTGAGAACTGATGTTCAATTGGGAATGTCTCATGATGTCTGCATTTTTCTCTCTCCCCAATCATCTTTCCCTTGAAAATGTGTCATAGTTGTAAGTGTAGAGAGAAATTCCTCTTTGATCATTCCTGGGATCTTCATAAAGGGTTATCTCAAATATCTTAAAGTTCCGAAATATATCTAGTTCACATCTATGACAACGCATTTCTGTCATAGGAACATGACAAATACAAGATTAGTCTCATTTGTGTTTCTCTTGTGTAACCTTTTCCTCTGAGTAGTGATTAACCCTTAACAGTATGCGTATTCTCTGTACTCTTCTCTATACATTCCTTAGGGTTTTGACAAGGAGAATTTACTTTACAATCACAAGCTTCTTTGGTTGTTGATCATTTTTGTCATTCTCCTGACCTTAATGTGTGATTCAGAGGTGATATTGTAAGGAGAAATAAGATGCTGGTAACTCGTAAGTGGTTAAAGAGTCAACCTTGTGTCATTCCTCCCAGTATTAGTATGTCATCCAATGAAAAGGTGGTTGGTATCAAAAAGTGTATCAGCTCCAAAGTGCTGTCTTGAGTATGAACAACGTGAAGCAGTTAGCAAGGGAGGATCACAAATAAGAAGTTATAAATTGGCAAAGGGTCAAAAACTGTCTCGACATTTCTGGGACAAAAGGAATACAAGTCAAACCAGTTTGATAAAATCATTTGAGTCTGAAATGCAATTTAGTTGAAACTAATTATGCCAAACCCCCAATATCTCAATTAGAGTTTCCTCAGAGCCTCAGGACCATTGAGTAAGGGGTATTTCATTGTATGCTATATGTTCAACAGAAATGGATTGAAGAGTGTCGTGATAATTGGTGAACTGCTTTTATTAATTCCTCTAAGGTTTGGAATCTGACCAATTGCCGTCTCAAGACCAACCACATTGGACACACTGGTTATCTTAACTGTGTCACTGTGTCACCTGATGGCTCTTTGTGTGCATCTGGTGGCAAGGATGGTATGGCCATGCTGTGGGACTTAAACGAGGGAAAACACCTGTACACGCTTGATGGAGGTGACATTCTGAATTCACTGTGTTTCAGCCCCAACAGATACTGGCTCTGTGCCGCTGCAGGACCAAGCATCAAGATTTGGGTGAGTAAAGTGTTGCCACAGTAGACGAAAAGTAGTTAAAGGGAGATTTTCAGAGTTGCTAGGAGCTACGGATGCTGGGATAAGCTTTAGTAGTGCAGGTCTCAGACTCTTAAGCTGCCTTTAGCCTTTCTTATGAGTATTGAAAGAGAATTTGTTAATATTTTATAAAGGATTTGGAGGGCAAGTCCATTGTGGATGAGCTGCGACCTGATGTGATCAGCATGGGAGGCAAAGCTCCACCTGCCAACTGTATCTCTCTTGCATGGTCAGCAGATGGCCAGACTCTGTTTGCAGGTTACACTGACAACTTGATCCGTGTTTGGCAAGTCACCCGAGTTTAAGACAATTAGCCATGCTTTGTGACAGAGGAATTTTACTTTGTAAAAATAAAGATACCATCACACAGTAAACAGATTCTGCTTCATTTTGTTGAGTCTTATAGCTGTAAAGTACCGAAAAGGTACGTTAATTATTATGGTACAAGAGGTAAAACCCTGAGTATGTTCTGGTCAAAAGACTCACAAGGGGTATCTTTGATAAAAGATGTCTGTTGTCATTAGTGAATTTGATTGGTTGTCTACACAACAGAATACATTCAAACAGCACAAAATTTCATTAAATTTTCAATGCGTATAGAAGCTCTACTTAGTATTCTTAACTAGATGTTGAGACTTTGAAGTGACTTCGGATTAGCTGCTACATTTTAATTTAAAGCAAGGACCGAAACGTGCTTATAAATGTCCTCTTAGTTATTTACACGGGTCTCAGCCTCACGACCTCATACTACCGTTTTTTGAGCTTACAAACAGCCTTTCGTGTTAGGGTTTCGCCTTACGGCCCTTACGGAGTTAGCTGATGCATTGTGAAACAGGTGAAACAATTCTTTTTAAAATTTTTGAGCAAAGTCATCTCAAAAAGTCGTTACGCAGCTGTCCCTCTGTTTCATTTACACTATGCCGGCCAGTTGATGAATACCTGACAAGCACTCACACCCATCGAGTTCCTCCTAGTTTTGTATCACACCAGGCTCCCATCCGTTCGCCTACGTGCAGACGTCTCTTATTTCCTTTATTACGCGCGTGCAACAAAGGAAATAGAGACGTTTGCACTCAGGCAACTGTCCGTGATCAAGGAAGCTAGTAGGACAATGTCTATTACTTTAGGCACATTGATGGGAATTGGTACTAGGCACCAGTTTTCTCTCGGATCAAGGAACTGTTGCGAAACAAGATCGAATCAAACCTCAGGGGTGGAGATATTTTGTATCTTTCCTTGCATCTCAAGCGTTATGAAGTCAGAAGGTTGTTCTTTAACTCGCCGATTTTCAATGGATCGTCTTTTAAAAAAAAATCTCGAATTCAACTATCTATTTGAATTTACTATTTCCTTTTCCAGTCAAAGGTTTCCCCCATGTTTATTTAAACATTAAGATGGGTGAATTAAACCGACTCATTCTCATTCCCACCCTTAATATGTTCCCTTATCTTCGATCTGACAAGAAATATCTTTCCTGCTGAAACTTAACGAAAACTCGGCGTGGCGAGGTTATCAAGGTTCACCCTCCCCCTTTTCCCTAGCAACTCCCTCATCCCTTTAGTGAACATACAGACGCACTCCATCTGTTCGTGGTGGGCCTTGTGTAACAAAGAGCCGTTTTCTTCACGATGTGAGTGCAATGCTTTCTCAGAGCTGGCTCCACAGCAAGACCTGCTAAGCTTGCGATTAAGACCCCCGCAGATTCCCCAATCGTTACCAGTCCTAAGCAGAATTCCTTGTACTTCGGTTCCACAATCAGGGGCACTGCGCAAACTGTGTTCGTAAAAACGAAGCCCGACACCGAGCCGATGATAAAACAGAATAATAAAACCGACCATACCGAGTTGAAAATTCGGTAGAACGAAGCACATACTGCTAAGCTCATAAAAGCTAGTAAAATAAGTGAGAAAATCCAGGTGTGTTTTACAACTAGGCCTCGCATTAAAACTGGCTTGAACCAAGCTATCACGCTTAAGTAAGAACGGAATAAGAATTCGCCAACACCGCTTACGAGAACATAGTAAACAAAGTGATCTCTTGGCGCAAAAGGAGCATCTTCGAAGGCAATCGTTGTAAAGACTGCGTGAATAGTTATGTACTCAGCAATGTAAGCAGAGCACAAAGCAATCATTAGAGGAAAGATTTGACATGCAGCCGTACACTTCTCACCCCAGGATAAGAGGCCAAAAGGCTCCTTATCAAGATAGTCATCTGAGCACTCGGAGTCAGTGGACTTGAGGTTCTTGTATTTTTCCAGGAAGGCATACGGCTTAATGCGGTCCTTGTCTAATAAGTAGTAAAATAACAAGATCAAAAGTGTAGTTGGTGCAATAACTGTCAGGGATATCTGGGGTGAAACACAAAGCCATGACGTCATTCCTGGAAAAGTAAAATTCAAATAAAATTCATTAAAAGCTATTAAAAGCTATAAACGTTACCAAACAAAACATTATAGAGAACTGAAAATTGCAATATCCAACAGGCACTGCCAACCGATCGCAGAGAGCCGAGCCTACTCTCACAAAAGAATTTCTTTGGTAGCTCCACCAAAAACTGATTTTCAGTCGTTCTGTTGCCCTTTTTTCTCACTTTTCTAAGTTTTTTGCAAGACAATATGAATTCTCTTGTCTATTTTTTCGTCGAGTTGAACCGTTTAACGTGAGATGGTCTTGCTCCGTGGGAAGCTAAACATGAAAAGAAAAATGCCCCCGAGACTGCATTTTATCAAACCTTTTCAATGTTTTTTTTTTTTTTTTCTAATCTCTCTTGGGGTTCTGATGCAAGTGTCGAAGTATTTCGGTTGTGAATGATTCATCATTTTCGACCAGCTGAATGCTACATGATAAAATCTGATAAATAACGACTGATAGATGCTTCCGTTAGTGGCAGACATGAGTTTGAAAGCTCTACCACTGCTAATAGAAAAATGAGAAAGAGGCATTTCCAGCTCCTGATAATTCTTATGTATAATCCTGAGTTAACTGTGGGCACCAAAAAGGGCAAGGGAGGTTTTGTCCGGAAACAAATCTATATCGGAGTCTGAAAGAGGTAAAAAAAAAATTGTAAAATAAGGGATCCTATAACCTGACTTTGTTCATTTTATAATTTCACCACTGGTCACGCTGAGGGCATTGAATCTCTTTTTCACTGGATCTCCTACGCTAGTTGTTCTAACAAAGAAACGACAGGATTGTTAAAAGAAAAAGCAGGAAAGGTGAGTGCGAGGAAAAAATCGAAGTCAGTCGTCAAGGTGAGTACTGAAGTTATGAGGATACAAAACAATCAAAAACCAAAGCGCTGATTCTAATCTGGGCAAGATTTTTCACACGGCCCCATTATTTCATTGTGCATTCAGTTCTTGGATAAAGAAAATATGCTGAAAACAACGGATTTTACTTTGTTTTGAATAGTACGGGATTGTCATTGTACGAATCTTTCCTAAGCTGCGAACGATTGTTTTTAAACTAACTTGCCTAATTTATTCGTCTAGGTGATTTGTGCTGACCACACTAACAATGCGCCAGGCGATCTAACTTAAAATTCCGTGCTATTACAACCCCTAGTTTTCTGACTTACCTGTGTAATAAATTGGCCCCAAAAGTATTCCTGCCCCACTTCCTGCCGCGAAAGAAGTAAGAGAGAACTTTCCGTAAAAAGCACTTAGAGCTAAGAAAGAAATCTCTCCCAAGCCGTGGGCAAGTGCGTTCAAAGACACTCCGATGATCTTCACGTAAACGTTGTCGACTAGGATGATCAGAACTGTCCCACTCGCCATAGCCGCGAATACTATAAGTGTCCGCCATAAGTAAGGGATTTTCTGCATGCACCAGGGAAGAATTGATGTCACGATCACCATCGTTGATACATGCGAAGCGAGGATTGTGGTCGTAGGAATATAAGTTCCTCCCAAGATGTCTTGAGAACCTGATATCACAACACTAAAGAACGAATGAAGAAGCATCGCCAAGCCGCTGAAACTGATGCAGATTGTGATGTGGTCGAGTCGTGTAAAGCCTTCGTCGTCCACATCGTCGTTTTCAGGTTCATCTTCATCGGAGGCTTCGTCGCCGCTTGTATATTCAGCCTCCTCGGGATGCTTATCCATTTAGAAATTACAGAACGGCGCGGTGTAAGTCGACTGCTCAGTTAGTCACAGTCAAAAGCCAGCTAGAAAGCTCCAGTGTTGATTTCACTGGTGATGGAAAACATAGAGGATTCAACTGGTAGCTTTTTTTAACGTCGCGACTCCCATGCATTCGATAACGTTTCCATTCGCGTAAAATGGCAAGATTTGAGCGTGTTAATAAATTAAACTATAATTTATGCAAAATGCTGACATGATAATTTGTCTTTTTCCGTTTGAGTGACGTCGTTCAATTGAATTGTTATTGATGGAGCACTAAGAACGAATAATTAAAAATTAAGAGCATGGCTTTCCTAGTTTTATCCTATTTCAAAATTCATTTTGGAAGCGTCAGAACCAAGGGAAAAAATTCGAAGATCGAATATGCATCAAACTCTGACATTTTCAGAAGATTTTTGCTAAAATTGACAATTTATGTGGCCATGGTATCTAAGGTGTTAAGAATTTCCACCCTCGAAAGTTGCTGTGGTAACACACAAGAGGCATATATTGTTTTAGATTTAATAACACTCTACAAAAGGGCAAACAAGAAACCCGAGGAGAAATTGTTCAATTCATGTTACTGCCTACTGAATTACACAAGTGATGAATTTTGACCGGCACAAAAAAAAACTGAAGCCTGAACACTTCTAATTTCAGACCAATTACTTTTTTTGTGCGTACTGAATTTTTGTAGTTGTGGTAATTTTCGAATTCAGTTTAATCGTAATTTTTCTGATGTTGGCCCGCTTTCTCATGGAAACCTTTGTACCTTGAAAGAATGTCAATAGTTGCTGGAGTTTTTTTTATCGATATTGTTCCAAACGACAGGAAAAGGGCGAATGTCACTAAACCGCTGTCATCTTTTATTTCTAATGAATCATACATCTGTCATGCAAAACGAATCTGTTGATACTGAGCCAAAATGCAGTCACTGTATTCAAAACAAGGATAACCAATTACAATCTTAATATGGCCAACATCAAATCTGAGAGCACTTAGATCTCAAAACCTGTCTTGCTCTTCCGTTGAGATTCCGGTCACTTAATTATAAGCTTGACAGTGTGCGTTATAAGGTGCTTCTGGACCGAGTTCCCTGATCACCATTGATACGCTTAGGTCTGAACGGAATAAAAATTTCATGGCAACACGGCAAGATTGCGAAAGTTTTTGGGGCCAGGTTATATTTCGCAATCTAAATTTAATGAATAGTAGAATCATGACCATATAGAAGGTTCCCCGCTCCCAACTTGTCTCTTCGTGGCACAGTTGGTAATAGCACCCACTGACTAATATCTGGAAGATACGGGTTCAAATCCCGTCGAAGCCTGAATTTTTTGCAGACTTCTTTTCTGCAATTGCTGAAAATTTCACGTCACATGCAAGTATGGTCACTGTTTATTTGAGTAGTTCGGGTCTAAGATGAAAATAGAAAGTAGTCAATTTTGATTCATTTCCAGGCAATTTTCATTGTTTTCATTTCAAGACTTTGCACGTCTTGATCTTCAAAGTAAAAGGCAGCAAACAAATCACAATTTTTCTCGACCGGTAGCTACTAAGACTTTCGAGAAATGGTGCCTCGATGTCAAGTTTCTCGCTTTTTTTTTTTTTTTTTATTGACCAACCTTTTCATCCCAACATTTACATATCCACTCCAGTCACTCCAATCATCCCACGGGAAAAAAAAAAATTAATAAACAAACAAAAGGACCAGGAACCTGTTCTTCTGGCACAAAGTTTGTAAGATGGGAAACTCAAACTTGTGTTAAAACTATCGACGTATAGTACCAACGCTCCTGAATTTCCTGAAAGCGGCTTACCTTAGCACGCGCTCTTTAAAAAAAGGAAAAGAATCCCCGGGGAACAAATTCAGCCGGAAACCATCCTGTAGATAAGGACGGAACAACTGTGATTCACGCGCCTTGTTCCACACACAGCTAAAGAGTCGCGTGGCACAAAGTTATAAAACATAATATCTGCCTGGGTACCTTCAAGGAATCAAGAAGAGATACGAAAAACCAGGAATTAGATGTCAAGAAATAACTGAAAATTGAAATGCGAAATTTAGTTATGTCAGTGCAATAGCAAATAAATACAAACATAAAATTACATGTCTTTTTTTCCCTTTTTTTAACATTTCGAATGTCCCACCCGCTTCAGATATCTTCTTTCGTCCCCCACGTGGAGTTTCCGTCTGGCGGAGCCAGTGATAAATGAGGTTCAGTCAACTTGATCAGAACAGAGCCTGTTATCATTTGCTCCTTACTACACTATTACCGCTGGATCATAACACGGCTTATCTCCGCAGCCATGTACCAACTGTTTGGACAGGTAACGGAATTGTATCCCGTCACGCCTCAGGAAACACCGTATAGCAAGTAAGTTTAGTGAAAGGCATCGCTTAAATGGGCTTACGAGTTTAATAGTAATCTTGACAAACTCTCTCAGGGTCATAACATTC